ACAACTGGGACAGTCAGCGGAGGACAGCACACAATGCACCAATTAACGTCAAATAACAGATACCGCAGATGCTAAAATTACCCCAGCCTACTTAGAAATACGCGTATATATATATATATATATATATATATATATATATATATATATATATATATGATGGATAAATTGTCATCTATATAACGCAAAAATGAAAATAACCCTGACAACTCATTTTAACAGTTATATTTACCAAAATTACACAAACATATCTTGAAATACTAAAGATTAATTTTGTAGTGCATATTCACATGTTCTAATGTAACAGTGTATATATATATATATATATATATATATATATATATATATATATAATTTGTGTATTTAGGCATCAATCCTGCTTTCATGCACATTTTATTGAATATGACAGACAAGGTTTAGATTTAGATTTTTATGCAATTTCTCATGTAATCTAATGATTTTTTCTTTTCTGATCATAAATTATATAAAAACTGTCCGAATATTCTTTTTATCCGAGCGCGTTCGGCTATATATTTAGCCATTTTCAAGGTTGAAATATTTTAACTGTTAAATAAGAAATAGTTTGTTGCATTTATATAATGTTTTCAATTTCAAAAAACGGTCAAGATATTGTGTCCATGTTCATAGTTGATATTAAGTGTTGTTTTTTTTTTATTAACAAGACTTCCATTATTTTTAACCTTTTTTTTTATTGCATGTAGATGATGCTATTATATTAGTGTTGTCAACAAGTATGTTACAAATAGTGTCCGGTAGGTCTCCATGAATATTTAAATGAGATCGAATTGAGCTATGGTCAGAAAGGTGTAGATTGAGTCTTCGTGTCAAACATGTTGTAGTATGGCCTATATAATTATTTACGAATTTTGATTGATCAGGAATACAATTCCTTAATGGGCATTTAAATTCGTAAATAATATTTGCCCTATTTAATTTTGTTCCAAGACATGAATTATTATTTTTAACTATAAGATTAGAGGCTTTAATTTTTTGTAATAAATAATATATAAATATAATGAATAATATAAAAATATATATAAATAAATATATATATATAATATTTTTGTAATATATATATATATATATAGAGAGAGAGCAAATTATAACATAAATATGTTATAAAATCACTACAAAAATTTTGATTGGCCATTACAGCTTATGTAACAATGTTTCCCCTATCGAGGGGTGGTTGGTCAATTTGAACCTTTTAAAACTCTTTATTCTACATTCAATACCATCACTTGATAAGACACCAGAAATGTGGAAACAAAATGACTATTTTTGTTGTGATTTTATAACATATTTATGTTATAATCTTCGAATAAATTATATATATATTGTTTCTATAATAAATTTGCAAAAACAGACCTTGGTCAGTTTTCAACTATTTTTCTCTCTAAACAGATATATATATATATCTTAAACAAGATAGTCAGGAGGTTAAAAAATAGATTTCTTTCAAGAATTCGAAACCAGGATCGTTGTGGTTAGATCTATGAATACTTTCAACAACTCATGATAAACAGAATATTTTAGGATTAAAAATAAGTCATTTTTGAAAAATAAGTCATTGGAGATGTAAACTGGATTCATAAAGAAAATTCAAAATTGAAATATACATGTTTAGGTCCAGACTTCAAACTAAATGGAAATTGAAAAAGTTTCTCTTTTTGATGGAAGAGGATTTCTTCATTGCGAACTGTTGGTAGACAACAAATGACAATAATTTCTTCCACACTTGAGAAATTCTCAATTCTTCTACTTGCTACCACATTTCGCCATTTAGTATCCCAGTCTCACAGTCATGTTCAGCCTTCAGTCCCTTTGTCGGATTTCTGTTTTCCTTCCTATTTATCTCTTGTTTATTTTGTTATTCCGACTAGATTACTCTCAAGATTGTATTTATTTATTTTTTTCTAATTCCACCCTTTTGACTTTCAATAAACTTGTCGATGAACAGAATTGTATGTTCAGTTTTTATTGCCATAAAAGGCGTTTATTTGACTGTCTAAGGTGTGCACGCACATAAGACACGCGCGTATCGCCAAACGGTCCAACTTTATCATTAAAAATAGAAAATAAAATAGATTAAAATTGTATTGTGCTAAGTTTCGTATCCGAAACGTAAACAAACGTTCAACTCAAATACCCGTATCAACTAATACCCATATCAATAATAACAAATACCCGTATCAAATAAAAAAAAATGACGTTTGAAGTAATAAAAATATGTTGGATTAAAAATAAAAACCTCTTAACTTCTCAGAAAATTCTTGTTTACGTTTCGTATACAAAACTGGGCAGATATGGCTTTTGAGAAAAATCTGAACCAGGAGATGTTGTTTTAAGGCAAACAGAACCTTACTTGGCTGTGAGGCGCTCCGTAGCCGAGTGATCTAAACCACGCAGGATTAGTCACTGATCCCTCGTTCAAATCCTATCGGAGAGCGCGTTTTCTTTATTAAGTTTTCTCGAATGCGCAGGTCGGGAGGCGAAATGAACCCTGCTTTAAAAAACACGACGTCCTACTGAAATACGGGATTTTTCTGACTCGAATATTCAGGACGGTAGATGTAGTTGGATAAAAAAATATCGTTTAATTTTAAAAAATAGAGCTCCTATCCTAATATGAGTAGCCATCAAAAATAACGTCTAAAGAAAATAAAAAATAGCATATATATATGTTGTGATTTTTGGTTAGTTCTCATTGGTCAGACAGGCGTCACGTGTATTACGCAAAAGATAATATATAAATATGTGTGAGGAACATTTTGACGCGTGTTTGACGAATGAGAAATACCAAAAATCATAACATAAAAGTATTCTGTCTCTTTGATTTTTTCATTTTTATTCTCGATCTCTGATGAAACCTTAATAGAGGTGAAACATGTTAGATTGAGATACGTTTCCTATTTGTTCTCTATTTTATTTTATCATCTTGTCGGATCCCTATGCATATCTGATCTACATGAGATCTTCAACACACACACACACACACACACACACACACACACACACACATATATATATATATATATATATATATATACTGAGATGACCTGACGGTTAGCAATACGAGAAATTGAAGTTACAAACAAAAGTACAAATTTTATTCAATCCTTACAAATGCCCTCGTGAAAAGCATCATATCAGTGTGATCTGGTATGGCTTTGTGTTGTAATTCAACATAATCTGCTGTATTTTACTTGGAAAGGAGATGGGCCCTGCGAAGCAACCGGCATTGTCCTGAAAAATACCATGTAAGGATGGGCGTGGTGCCTCAGAGATATACCAGTTCATGGTGTAGGGTCATTTGAAATAAATATAACCAGAACATCTGTTTTTGGAGAAGCGGTTTATCTGTAAGTCCGTCTTCTCACCTTCGTACATATATTTGTATCCTTCTTATGAATTAGGTTCAAGGACATTTTAGCTATATGATCTAATATATCATGCTGTCTAGAATTAAATGTCAGTTATTAACTGGTAAGATTTGAAGTTAGTAAAGAACCTTGTTAAAAATGTGTTTCAGTCAAAGTTATTACGTTTTAATTCAATGTATATTTTCACATTATCTTTTGATGTGAATTTAGAATTACTGTTACGGTTTTGACTAGAATTTAGAATGCATTATTTCTTTCACTAAAATATATTTGAATTGATTGAAAACGTGCTTTTAAACACATGAATTATTTCCAAAGTTGTAGGAAAGTAGTAAGCTGTTGTAGAATCTCTCCTCACCAGACGAACTACATTCTTTAGTTCAGCCAGTTCAGGCCTTTACAGCTAGGATTTCATATACACATGGTCGAATCATCTTACAGAGTAATAGCCACTAGCCACTGGAATTTACGCTTTTTATAATTTTATTTCTCCTCCTATGAAATTCGTCGCAAGTTTTTGCCTTTTTATGTCCGTGCATTTTCTTTAAATGTTGTGTAAAACATATGCTTCAAAACTTTAATATAAATGATTATTTTTCGTCGGTACGAACAGGAAATCAAGTAGGGGCTCAGTGGAGGTTAGATTTAGCTGCTATGAATTCCAAAAATATTAGTTCGTATTATACACAAGAAATTTTCCAAAGTTTTGTCGCCCAAAGTTAAGGTTACGTATTATCAGGGCCTGTGCAAGGGTTTCATGCCATCCCAAATCTATGACACGCACCCCACCGAATCTATGATAAGGCCTCCACTCTACTACATCTCAATTGTCATAATGTAGTTTTCATATAAAATACAAATTTTATTGTAACCTAATTATATACAATCATGGATCATATGCAATATAGGTGAATAATTCTACTAGAAAAATTGAAAATAAATACAATGTATCTAAATACAAATTAGAGACACGTCATAATAGATCATTCCATCTTAAATAATTTAACTGATGTGCGATAATTTTTAACATCAACTTGATATTTTCTTGTTAAAATGTTGAATAATTTTAACATATTCAACATTATGGATAATAATAGTGAATTCTATATCGTGTTTTTTCGAGACTTAGCATGAACAAAATTACAGATTTGGACAAAAAAAAGACCCCAGAATGACATCAAAATCCGTACAAATTTTTCATCCTTTAATAGTCACTTATGCTTAGCTTAATTTGTAACGTATATAAATGTAGGTAGAAAAAGTAAAGATTGATAAGATAGCAAGTGTCACATAGAACTGCCCGGGGTCCCCAATCAGGCTACCCACCCACACGTTAATCGGAGGATTCGGGGTACTACGCACCGGTTCTTCGTATTATAAGTGAGTATTATACAAAAATAATTATGACAATAATTTTAAAGCAGAATTTATTTCATGTTAAATTTAGTTGCTTTTCAACACAACTTACCCAGATCGTCGTAGTGAGTAAACAGCGCGCTTGGGAAATAAAGAATAGGCCACCGGAAATCTCGAACCTTTAACGCGAGAAAACCGAGTATACACTGTAGCTACTCTACCGATCTAGCTGCCAGAACTTTTATGGTTGGCAAAAAATCCTATCTAACCCCGTATCCCGATTCTTCTTCGATCACAATTTTTGTTATTTTTTTTACGTAAGTTATTGTTTTAGTTGTAATATTATGTTGATTTTATTTGTTGCATGAAGCCTTGTTACTGATTATGAAAGTAAAATAATTGTGCTTAACCTTTTAGTGGCCATTGTTCTATTTTAAGACACTTTTTTATCATTAATTTTGATTATTTTGAGTATTTCATTTTTACTGATAATATACACAGAAAAGACCAAAACTTCATGTTAAAATACAATTTATAACTTATCAAATTATACTGATTTTTGTCAAATTTTGCAATTATGACATGGCACTAGTAAAAGATTAAAATTCAAGGTGTTTCAATTTAGCTGCGCATAAGACAAAGACAATTTGAGAGAATAGGAATAGAAAGATTGTTTTGTGCCAGTCTTTCTTGTTTGCCTTGAAAATCGGTTTTCAAAATCCTGGATTTTAACAGTGACTCGATCACTGGCGCCGATATGCAATTCTCTTACTCACAAGACACGTTTCTTCATTTACACGATCTATTTCTCGCCAGATGTATAGAGGGTGACATCATTTTGTAGCCTAATAACAGAGCCATTTCTCGCTCAAATGATCTCAGATTTAAACAAAATGGGACTGTGTGGACTTATGTCAGTGAGATAGAAAAATGAATCAGGCGTGCCAATGATAATGACAATGAGTTGTTGAAATGGCGACCACGTTCACCTGACTTGACATCTTGTGATTTTTTCTATGGGTCTATATGAAAGGACGGATCTATATCCCCCATCTTCCTAAAAGCCTAGAGGAACTTAAGCTGAGAATCACTGAGGCACTGGGAAAGTTACGCAAGACATGCTACAGCGTGTTTGGCAGGAGATGGACTACCGACTTGACATGTGTCGTGTCACAGGTTCTGCGCATGTTGAACATTTCTGAAGCTTTGTGAAATCGGTTATAAAATCTACTTCCTTATGAATAACTTGTTCCAAGTTTGATAAAGAAATCTTTTATACATCAACATTAAGCCTATTTAATTTCGTTTGCCTTGGACATGTTCAGATATTCACATTTACATTTTAAATGATGTCAATTTTAGTGGGACACCCTGTATATATAAAAAACAAAAAATCATCATTGACATGGTTAAGTCTTAAATCTGTTCGGCTTAAATAAGACCTCCACCATTTGTAGCATCAAATGGTGTCAGTAAAACGAGGCCATATCTTCTATATCTCCAAAATCAATCTATTAACATTCGATCATCACCGAGCAGATCCTGAATGTTCTACAGTCAAGATAAATTGCCTTGAACATCTTCTGAGATTCATGTTCACACAAGATCTCAAGTGAAACTCGTATATATTAACCATCACTAAAGAGGCTGGCATAATGATCACCCCTCATATTGCTGCAGAAAGTATCAAACCTGCCACTCAAATCTCAAGTAAGATCAAACTAAAAATAATGTTGCTTCCCTCTCTCACTTCCCAGCCTTAACCCATCTCCTTACATCAGATGCATCCTTTCTGTAAACATTTATTAAACCGTGAAAGATTGGGTTTCCGCTAACATCTAAATTTTACTTATTCTTTCTAAAGTCTTTTCATTCTCTTTCACTCCCAGTAACCCTTTGTGTCTTATTAGCATTATCACCTTCCTTGCGGTGAATTGATTTTTAAAAAATCTTTGCACTGTCTTCTTCCAAAAACAGAAATGTTATGACATTTCTTTGCTTTTTGTGCGTCTCCAATTTGACAGCTACTTTGAAAGAGGAATGTGCGTAAGAAAAGAGAATGTCATTCAGCAAATTGTTCCCTTGGACTTCTAGAGATTTTACGGTTTATAGCTTAAAAATAGGAATTCTGACTAAAACTTTTAAAATTAAATTAGAACACGCATTACTTTTTAAAGGAACGTTCGATGTTATTTATTTTCGTTTATAGATAGTTAATGAATCGTTATTGATAGTTACAACACTTAGCTTAGTCAGTATTTATTCAAATCTTAACTAGAGGAGGAAACTGCTAAATGTCCATTAAACACACGTTGTAGATGAGATCAAATGAAGACCCCATTGTAGAATTAGTTCACTTCAGATTTCCACACGTTGATTCTCCCGCGAAAATCAGTGCAATTGAAGGGTATTACTTTAGTATAACTAAATATTCTGTAACTGGATAGTATATATATATAATAAGCTTAGCATAGTTTGGCACAAGACCATAATAGTAGGACAACTAGGTAGTATAGAAATAATATGCAATAGCATTCCAGAGTACTATGTGCTGTGTCTCTTTAGGACGTAGGCGATCGTGGCCCTCTACATCTTCCTGTCTATTGTAGCTCTTAATAAGTTTTTTTTTTGGGGGGGGGTATCTCAAACCCTGTTCTAACATCTATTTATTCAAGCTCTTTAAGTATGTTACGCGCTGTTTTCTTTTGTCTCGTCTTCCCTTAATCTGTCCTGTTGGTATCATGTTTTCCAAGCCCTCCTTCCTCATTAAGTGCCTTAGAAATTTCAACCATCACTTCCTGATGATAAGTATAAGTTTTCATTTTGTTTCAATTTTCTCCAAAACCTCGTCGTTGCTCACATGTTCGGCCCATAGTATCCTCAGCTTTCTGTAGAACCACATTTCTGTTGCTTCAAGTCTCTCCAACTTTAAGGAGATCTTTCTGTCTCTTAATACTCTGCTTAGCTTTTGAAATGTATCTTTAGCTATCATACATCTTCGGATCTCAGTAAGCTTATTTTAGTTTGGCGTAATGCTAGAATAGCCGAACTTCCGACTGGAAAAGAAAAAACTCACGAACACTGGTTTCAATATTGCATTTCTGATTATCGCTGCATTTCAAGTGCATTTGCGGTGGTTAAGTACTCAGATTAACCTTAGTATAAAATAAAATGAACCATAACGTGATGGTTAACAACCTTGTTTTTTTAACCAGTTCGTGAGTATAGCATGTTCGATCTTGTCTCGATGTCTCACACCTACGGCCTTGCCAGACTATGGCGAGTTTATTAAATATTTATACATTTCCCATGTTTCCAATCCCTGATGTTTGCAGTGCAAACCGCAAAATACATATTTCCCAGAAAAGCACTCATTCAATCAAAACATTTTTCTCGTGAATTTTATATCGAAATTAAACTAATCTCATCACACACCCTTGAATTTGATGCGACCACTTCCTCTGCTATAAACGAGTAAGACTAATATTATTAATCAATTTGACACTCCAGTGAATGACTGGGTAAATTAAATTGATGTTTGGATTTATGATAATCCGAGGATATATTGATAGGCATTTTTGGAACTGCCAATGATTAAGATATAAAAGAAAAAAAAAAACAAAACTTGTAGGTTTTATTTGTCCTTGTTTTTTTTTCTTTTTTTAGGATTGTTTCTCTCTTTCTCTTTCTCCCTTTTCCTTCTCCCTCTCTCTTTCCACACTCTCTCTCCCCTTTCTCTCTTCCCCCTCTCTCGCTTTTCCCATTCTCTCTCCCTTCTCCGCTCTCTCTCTCTCTCTTTCTCTTTCACCACATTCTCTCTCTTCATCCCCCTCTTTCTTTCCTTACTCCCACTTTCTCCCCCTCTCGCCCTGTATCTCTCCTTCCCCAATGTCTCTCTATCTCTCTCCCCCTCTCTTTTTTTCTCTCTCTCTCTCCCTCTCACCCCCTTTCTCTCGCTTTCTCTCTCTGGTCAAATGTCAAAATGTCTGAAGAGATTCTTTCTGTAAATATATTCAACAAATTGGCTCAAGTAGGGAACGTTGAGTGAGTAAATGAAATGAAATCAGACAATCAGACGACATTTGTAAATACGCTGTAAATGAATTGATATGCTTTCCGTGCAAAAGGAAAATCTAATTATGACACCGATTCGCATTGTCAATGATTAAACAAATGACAGCATTCACCTAAACAGAACTTACTTGATTATCATTACATGAAGTGTGCGCTACAAAATAACTAACCGGTCGAGAAAACAACAAGATGAGATTTAATTTTCGGATATTGCCTACTTAAACAAATTGAGGGAAAAGACATCAGTTTTAGGCAGTTATCAATGACTTATTTACAGGTTCAATGGGGTAAGTACAGTTTCAAACTCCATATTTATAAATAAAAACAAAGTACAGATAACTCTTGAAAAAGTCAGTGATCGATCTGATACTGCAATTATATTATGAACAGGACCCTCATAAAATAATAAAATATCAATATTTTTGATTCTGACAAATGTACTTAGCGGAAGATCTAATGAATTCTAATCTACAATTTGTTTCCAAAAACATTTTCCCTATTTTTGACGATTGAACCAGTTCATCTAAGTAACACTGTATTTTGAAAAGGCAAACAATTTAAATTTGAACACAACATGGCGCCCAATTTTTCAAGTCTGAAACATTACGTTGATAACGTGAATGTCTATCTGCAAATGCTCAGACAAGATAAAGGAATATGTTATCCTGTCACTTTTGTTTCAAGAAAGATTTTTTTAAACCACGTCCCTTCAATACGTGTACGATTCGTGGATGACCACAGATTCCTTTAATATGCGTAAAATGCTTTCATATCTTTGGAAAGATAGATAAGTGGTTATCCCGTTGGCTTCTTCACGGTTTAGAATTCACAGTTTTCTTACGGTGTCTTCCACCCAGGGCTAGAGAGCCTCGGACTACACTGCGCTATTTATTTCCTGGAGAGAGAAGAATTGCATTCATGTCTTTCCTAAAAGCATCTGTGCGAAATTGAAAACAAGACGCACGGCCAAATTTTGAAATTAGCTCTCGACATTTCCACTTTCTGCGTTATCCTCATATTCATTAATAAAGAACACGTGAAGCCCTAATTTCAGAATTATTCTCTATAAACTGAATCGTACGAAGAATCGGAAGTCTGTTTTCGTTGAGATTCTTTAAGGTTTTATTTTAGTCAAAGAAACCATTTTATGTATAAGTGATTTACGTTTGAATAAAACCCTTCTGAACTCACTTAATTAAAAAATATAAATTATTTTAACACATCGATACAATAATGGGGCATACAGTGATAACGTTTAGCCTTGCTTGGAAGTGCTTTTTAGTGCACTAGTTACGTTTCTGTGAAAAAGATTCGTTCAGTTTCGTCTGGGACTTTTATAGATATTAATACAGTCAGTGAATTTTAAATTTCCACTTTCTTTCTTTCTTCCGCCTCAAATGAGAAAAGAGCAGATGCTAAACTTTGATCCCAGACCGAAGCACAAAAGAAAGCGTAACTTTTTTTTAATTTAATACTGTTTATCATAAACAGAGCATTTGCTTAAATACTTGTATCTATAAATAACAATGTTAAACATAAAAATGTCTTTAATAAATATATATATATATATATATGCAAATTTCAAATTTATAATTAATATGTTTAATATCCACTAGCACATGGCAATATACATATTGGTCGAAAATGCATGGTTGTCAGCAAAAGGAAGAGTCCAACATGCAAATTACAAATGGGGGATAACAAAATCAAGCAAATTTGTTTTAACAGAGGACAGAAAGTGCGGTGCTAAAATTCAAATGCACATAGGAATAGCGAAAGAGGCCTTCCAAAAGCTAAGCAAAGTATAAAGAAACAGGAAAATTTCGTTAGAAACGAAGAAAAGAGTACGTATCAATCTTCCTATATGGCAGTGAATGTGGGATAATCTCCTCACAGACAAAGAAGGGCCTTGAAGCAACAGAAATGTGGTTCTACAGAAGGATGTCTGTGCCACATAATGAGGAAAGAGGGCTTACAAAAGTTAACATTCACAGGACTTATTGAAGGTAAGAAAAACGGGGAAAAACAACGCATAACATATCTAACCAGCTTTTTTAAATGGTTAACAGAAAAAAAAGGGTTTAGGATATATATATATATATATATATATATATATATATATATATATATAAGCCTAAGTTTACTAACAAATACAGAGGACAGGAAATTGGGGAGTGCCATGATCGCCAACGGCCTGAAGGGAAACGGCACACAGAAAAGAAGCATCAGTCATTCAAATGATTGTGGTGGGGGTGGGACTCATTTCTATGAAAGTCAGCCTCCAGATCACCAACCACTAAATATACGAACTCATTTGTCAAATATAAAATAATTGAATAATAAATCCGGTGTTGATTGTTTCTGTCTTTGAAAGAAAGAAAGAAAGAAAGAAAAAGAAAACAAATTTCTTTTTCTTTCTTTCTTTCTTTCTTTCTTTCTTTCTTTCTTTCTTTCTTTTAGACTTTTCTTTTTTCATTTTTTCTCATTGTTCATTCTTTCTTTTCTCTTTGTTTTTCTTTCTTTCTTTGATCTTCCTTTGATTTCTTTATACTTTTAAAAATTTTTCTCTTTGTTTTTCTTTCTTTCCGTTTTCCTCTTTTTTTATGCGATTTGATTCTTTTCATTTCACTTTTTCAGCCTCCTCCAACCAATAGTAATAAAGTAGGCCTCGCACCCTGAATTATAATCTACTTTCCTCTAAAAATAAAAAGTGGGAAATTCTGGTTATCAGTGACCGAGTATGCCAACAGACAACCCTATTGCCTTTTAATCGACCTCTCCCTTTCTACAACAGTGGGAATAGATAAACATATCGAAGTTCAAATATTTACAAAATCTTTCTCAAGTACTCAATTTGGATTCTGGTTGATCGAAAAAATTGTGACGTCACACTAACCGGGCACTGATAAACAATAGTGTTGGGTTTTCTTCTTGCTTGTCGACTTTATCTCGTGGAAATAGTTCAGTAAGGTCACCTAATAGATTAATCCCGATGACAAAGCTAATACCATTAACATTGGAGATAGCACTATTTGTTTAAAGTGAGTGTAAAAAATAAATCCTATGGTTTTCTGATAACACATTTTGTTAGACTTTTTAGCATTTCTCACAATAAGCAGAGATTTAATTACAACGTGCGTTCAATATCGCCCCATCATGAAGTAATGAGTAGTAAGCTTCTTTCGAATATCATTACTCTAGTAATGAGTTCAATTGCCAGCAGGTGACCCCACAAGTGTATCTGCTATGCAAAATTAAAATTAGGGCTGCGAGATTTAATGGTTCCAATTGGCGTGTCCATAAATAAGTAAATAAATAAAAAAAATTATTATTAAAAAAAAAAATTATGATAAAATAATTATAACAATAATAATTATCATTAATTCACTCATTTTAAACCAGTGAGAATCTACCTTACTTTTCTTTTCTACACAAACAAACACGTGACATTCTCATTATCAGACAATCAGTTCACATGGACAGTCGTTAACACTTGCGTCAACAACAATTTCATCTCTTTTCCTTTTTCAGGCCATAATAGTAACATTTATCTTTTAGCGCTCAACAAAAATTCGAGGTAAGAAAACCCCAGACACCTTTTGTATTTTCCAAGTAAATTATCTGGATGGATTGCCATAATCCCCGTGAGTGAAATTTGCAGACAGAATTTTAGCAGCCGTCGATGATTGTGCTAGTACAAAGTTACAATTCATCGTGACCGAGGGTTTCACTGCGCTGGTCTTGTTGAAACTGTTGATGGCACTAGATAACACACACTCTCACATAAATTGTAACTAAGGTTTGCTCAGCATAGTTGCAATATAAACCATAGGTAGGATCTGTACGTGTTGAAAAAAAAAACAAATGTGGCTGAGCAGGCAGGGATTAGCTTGCCGCCCTAGTAGACTGGCATCCTCGGATAGTAGTGGTTGCGACACACACACACACACACATTATATAGGTAATAGTAGTTCCAAAATCGTATTGGATTAAAGCTTTGGTTGCATAGTGGGCCAGGGAGCAGAAACTTAAACTCAGTAGAAACAGGATTAGCAATAACTGAACATTGATTAAAACTCAAAAACTCAAAAAACACGATACCCAGTAGATTAAATAATAAATTCAGTTCAAAATTCCCTGGATTCTACCTAAAGAAGGTTACAGTCGAATAAGACCAGTGAGTAAAACGGCCGTGAATGATAATAACAATAAACCTGAGGACATCAGTCCGAATGTAAACAATTAAATGTTTGCTTAAACATGAAAGAAAAATAATGGAAATAAATCGCCCGTCCCATTTAATTTATGACGTCTCAGTAAATATATATCCGAACTGAAAATCTATTTTTTTGCCATTTCGTCCCAAGCAAGGTAATAAAGCCACCAAGTCACAATCGATTACTGAGAGTGAAGGAACTTGTAACAAACTTTATTGAGGAAAAAAGAATGATGGGTGTAAATAAAATCGTATCGTCGAGTAGGTAGTAGATGAGTGACTATGGAAGAAAAATTTAAACCCAGGTTGTATTTTCCCCCATTATTGGCATTATTATATCCATGATACGGACAGAACGGAATAGCTGAAAGAAAAGTAGTAACAAACATGCTTCGTTCACAGAGAGTTTATACCGCTAAGTCATGCACAAAATTATATACACATATTTACACATGCCCCACACAGAGAAATTATAACATGTCTATAACAGCAAGCAGTGAGAAAAGAGAGAGTTTACTTGTAAAAATTTTTTTTTTTTTGTAAGACCGACCACTGTGAACGTCCTTCTTCACGAGGATTTACATCGCAACTGGACATCGTGACTTTATCTCAACGAAGGGAGATAATCGCCTTTTTTTATCCTTACAAGAAAATAAAAAGAGAATTGAAGTAGTCTGATGACGACGATTGATATTACCTTTAAATTTTTAAAGATCGTAGATGACAGAAAGGCAAGAAGCTGGATGAGAGTTATACAGACGTGAGAGAAGAAACTCTTAGGATAGAACTTACGGTTAGCAATTCCAACAGAAAGATAATGAGACCTTTTGCTGTCAATCCGCTTAAATTCATGAAGGCACAGGAAATCTACGTTACGGTGGTAGGAAAGTGATTGAAGCTGAAATGCCAGGTCAGGACAGATAAGATTTCAGATTCTTTTTGAGATTTTATCAAGAATCTCTAGATACACAGCCGAAGCACCAAGTCAGATGTATCGACAATATTCAATGCCCGGACAAATACTAGATTTTATAAATGGTAAGAGAAACTGTTTAGTACTACACAGTGAACCGACTTTCTGAACAGCAAACTTAGCAATTGATTTGATACAATCGTTCCATTTCATACCAGTGGAAAAACCGGAAAGGCCTAGTAAGTTATTTTTCGGAGGTTAGCATCTGCCATGTTGATGGAAAGCAAAAAAAAAATGTTTCTTTAAGATGATTAACAGAGAGCAGTTTAGTTTTGAAAAAAGATACATTATTGCAATATTTAAAACATTTTTTTCTAAAATTAGCCTGATTAGGATTAATTTACGAACTGGAATCATAAAATTTAAAACTGCAATATAAACAAAAATACCCAGTGAACAGACTCTTCACGTTCGCGCAGGCTATTTTAGTAAGACATCACATCACTCAGGTTTATCATCCTGCATACAGTCTAAATTTGGCGACTTTCTGCGACTTCTGTCTATCGAATTTGAGAGGGTGAATGTTTCAGAACGTGATCGAGATTAAGGAGAACGCAGCTTATAGCGATCTCGAAAAAGTGTTTTGAAGAATGTTTTTTGATGTGGAAGGAACACTGAAAAAGATAAATTTGTCATTGACCTACCTACGTCATTTTCCGTTAATATTAAATAGCTGGATCATTTCCAGACGGGCCTTAGGAATACAAATAAGTGATACTGGGACTGGGAAAAACACAAAAATAATATTTAATTATACTAGAATGACAAATACTATAAGAACTACTGTTTAAGTTTATTTAGGAGTAGAAAGTCTCGAGTTTTCTAGCGCGCTAAGTGCTATATTTTTGTGCCTGTTTGTTTCAATGTTGTTTTTTTCTATTTGAAACATGACTCCCTTGAGAGAAAAAAGTATGGCTAAAATAAATAATAAGGGTAATTTAAATCGTTTGAAAGGCAAACAAATCCAGCTAAAAATGCGGATGTGGAAATCAGTGTTTAAAAGGTCATAAAATAATAATAAATAAAAAATGACTGTGGCTGGATGTTGTACCCATTTTTCTAAGAGCTTCGTGCCTAACCAAAAGTGAATTCCGATTGGAACTTCACTTACCTACGTCACATTAGTCTTCAAACAAACATTCCAATTTGGTACCTGCTAGGCAGACTAGGTTTAATACATATATCCGCATTTTCCAAGTGTTATTATAGTTATTCTCTTTGTCAGATGCAGTCTCATCAAGAGACGATAATTCTGCCAGAGTTATAGCAATACTGCTTTTTATACAGTACCAAATTTACATACCCCTACATCTCCCTCAAGCTAGGAATCTTTATACCTTTAGTTGACCTTTGAGTTCTACGAACACTCCTGGGAGACATAACCCTTCTCTCAGAGTAAGTCTCTTTATTTATTTTTAGAGATGTTAGTACTTTGCAGGGTGATCCTCCTGCGACAATATTGCAACTATAACACTGTCGCTGGCATCAGTAGTTAAGGTCAGTTCTTTTGCTGGTTGGAAGATTTTAACAACTGGTTTGTTTATGAGTGTCTTTTTTTAATATCTCAAAAGCGATGTCGTGTCTTTATGTCCATTGAAACTCGGTATTCTTCTTCCTTATTTCGTTAAATGGTTCCACACGGTCACTATATCGTGGTTGATATCTCTTATAGAAATTGTTTAATCTTAAAAAAAATATTCTTTTATTTCTGGGTGCTATCTCTGATATCTTGTTAATAAGTTTATCATCCGACGATATACCATCTTTAGATATTTGATATCTTAAGTACGAGATTTTTTCACAATTAAACTCGCAATGCCAATGTCATCTTGATATCCAATTATAATTTTAACTCCTTCAGAAACTTTTTCGATGATTCTTTGGAAAATGGGACTTGACGTTTTTACTCCAAACGGCATATGAGTTCATCTTAATAATCCAATAGTGGTGACTTCTTGAAACTTGTAATTTTTATCTGATTATATGCTGACTTAAGGTCAATTTTAGCAAAATACCACATACCAGCAAACTCATGGCATGCTGTTTCAATGTTTAGGAATAGGAATGAATCCGAATACATCTGGTGATTCACGCCAACCTTATAATCGCCACAAATACTTGAATATCCAATGGGCTTGCGTATCGTCACAATGGGTGAAGCCCAACTGCTACCACCCTGTCGACGCTGCGACACACCTACGCCAGATTTCTACATTTTGAGGATCCTCCATTGTGGTTAAGTAACCGATTGGAGACACCATATTGTTATGATAGATATTCTCTCTGTTGGATGTAGTCTCGTCAAGTGAACATAACTCGTTATTTATTATTGCAAAAATACAAAAATTGTG